AAAACTCACGCCTTTTTTTTTTTTTTTAATGAAAGACAAATACCATTAAAGGGCTGAAAAAAAATTTCTACAAACGGTCACCGAGAGTGTCTGGTTGGCGAATAAGGATGAGTGAACATATAGGTAAAAACAAAAAAAAAAAGTCCTTTGCTCTGCTCCCCTTGCTCCTGCAATTTTATTTTATTTTTTTATTATTTTTTATTTTAATTTTTTGGCTTATTAAGGACGTTTGATTTTTGAATATTTTTATTCTTTTTTGATAAAAGTTGGGCATACAAAGAATGCAAGTAGCAATTGTTGATTTTATGGCTTTTATCACCTACAATGCAATTTAATTAAATTGGCACATCTAAGAATTTGTGTATCCTATAATTTTATGGGCAAAACATAATTATTCTATATGCTTGCATTTCTAGAAGTGTATTTATTAGACTATATATTGTTCATTATATTTGTTAAAGTGAATTTATGTATTGGACCCATGCTTTAAATTAAATATATTCCCCTGCCCACGGTGGGCAGTGCCCAATAGTTTGTTTTATATGAAAAACGTATTCTCATAATACGTTTTTCATATAAAACAAACTAGTGGGCACTGTCCACCGTGGGCAGGTGAGCGGGACTGTGCTTTAAATACCGTACCGTACCGGCCGGTAATACCGGATACCGGCCATTGGTACGGTACAATTACACTCAAAATACCAGATTTACGGTTACACCGGTTTGTACCGGGATCATACCGTAAAAAATCGCAAAATACCGGTCCAAAATACCGGTCAATAAAAAAAATAAAAATAAAAAATAAAATTTTTTAATTTTAAAAAATAAAATTTAATTGGTAGTTAAAATATTTTATTTTTATCTCATTGAGAAGTTGAAATTAATGAAAATAGTCACTTATTTTTTTTATTTTTTTGCATTTGGTATTATATATTTTTATGTATATTTATATATATAATTATACTTGCTAATCCGGTAATACCACCGATATTACTGGTCCTACCGGTAATACCGCGTACCGGTGGCTAGACCGGTATGACCACCGGTACGATATTTAAAACACTGGCGATAATAATAAGTTCACCAATTAATTGAGATACAAACATATTTACAACTACAATACTTATTTATTACACGGGTGTTTTTTAATAAATTGTTGTGAAATTTTAAAATTAACGAGAAAAATTATTTTTTAATGTTATTTATTTTTTATGAAAAATATATATTATTATATAGTTTATAATGACATTTGTTACTTGTACCTACTTGCGTGTACTATATTATGGTAATATTTATAACTCATACCATATAACTATTTGAAATATAAAAATATTTATTGATAAATAATTTTATTTTTCTAATTAATATTTAAAAACAATTTTATTAATGTTATAAAGATTAATATAATTTTTTATACATACAATATGGATGTTAAATCGAAACACATCAAAAGATGATTAATTTGATATATTACATATGCAAAACTAATAAAAAAATACAAAAGTCATGAACTTTTAAATACATTACAATTCCATGGATATAATAAGAAATTATATTAAAATACAATTAATACATGTAACATGACCATAAATAATCAACGTATTTATAGATAATCAGGACCTAATTATTTTTGGATTGGAGCTTACCCAAACTTAGTAACAAGGCATGTAACTTTGTCGCATAGGATCCCGAAACATGCGAGTCTGCCATTTAGATTTAGCACGTTCTAATTAATATAGAGGAAATATATCCCAGTTACATCACACTAGTAGATATCATGTGCACATGCACAGATGTACATAAAATATTTTAAGTAATATTTGAGAATTTAACATTAAAATTCTAGATAATGAACATATTACATTTTAAAAAATTTGATCATTAGGAAAAATAAATTAACGATTTTATTATTATGAACAATTGTTTATTATCATTATATAATAATAGTTTGATTATTATTATTATTATTATTATTATTATTATTAATTATTATTATTATTATTATTATTATTATTATTATTATTAAGAAACAATTATTTATAAGATTCTAAAGTTGTTTGACTATGTTAATGTCCCTCGTCGTGTCGTGTTCACCCAAATCTCTCTTCTCTCTCTCTTTTTTCTTTTTTAATTTTAATCCCATTAATTAATTAATTAATTATATAACTCCTTTTTCATGGACTGGACTGTCAAATGACGGAGTGTAAGGCGGTCTGATGTCGGTCTGTCGGATCTCACCTTTCGGCCCAAGCCCATTTCGACTTTCTAGGCCCGTTAACTAAACAGGACCCTACAAATACCGTTTCAGTGATTCACATCTCACGACTCACGAGGCTCAATTAATATGCCTCGCTGAGTCAGCTCATGGTTAATCTCCGCTTGAAATAAATAATCTGTGCGGTGGATTTTAAAATAAATATTTATGTTAAGCGAATCGATTCTATCATAATTTTATAATTAAAATGAATATTTATATTATAAATATCATATTTTTTTATCTTATTTTTATGTTAAGCGAATCGATTCTATCATAATTTTATAATTAAAATGAATATTTTATCTTATCGATAATATTTATGTTAATACGACATTTAAGTTTGAAGGTGGTGCAGAATAATAATTATGATTATTTTACTGTCATTATTATCATGGCAAAAATTCAATTTTGGTCCGCTAATTTGTCCATTGTCCATTTTTGGTACACTAACTTGTCCCTCATCATAAAAAGTTCATTATGTTACACTTTTCATCAGTTTTAGTACGCTAATCCCGTGGCCCGAGATTATGAGATGCCAAATCAGTTTTTTATCCTACCACGTCAACATTTTATCCCTCCACGTAGTTCCAATCCCAGTCCACGTCATCTCGTAATCCCGCCAATTGGACTAGTGTACTAAATCTGATGAAAAATGTAACATAATGGACCATTTCTGATGAGGGACAAGTTAGCGGACCAAAAGTGGACAATGGACAAGTTAGCGGACCAAAATTTAATTTTTGCCTTATTATCATTATTAGTAGTGGTATTTTTATTATAATATTTTATTATTATTTCCTTTTTTCTAGTTGGTAGGAGAAATATTTATTTATTTGGTATTTACTTGTTTAGCAAG